TCCTATATCAAACATAGCAGTGATGTCAGCAAGTCAAGGTATTGCAGAGGCTTGAAAACGATATATCAGAGGTGTTCATCTTTTTTGTCATAGTCATTTGACTTTATGCACTCTAACATGGGTAACTGATAGCAATTGATGTTTAAATTTTAGTCTTTGAAAATCTGTACTGGTCAGGGTCTTTGCAATGTTTGTGATTAGTTGCAAACTATTTTGAAAATATCACAGAAAAAAAAACTTGAGGTTATAATCTGCACTACTTAAGGAGATAAATTCTGATTAATGCTATTTACATAGATAACAAAGCATTAGACAACATTGTACTTAAAGTATTTGTCCAGCTTGTTGGAAATATAGGTAAAAATTACAGGAAACCTTATCACCCTTTATAAAATTATTCCGATCTCTGGATGGTTTGGAGTTAAATTAGCCAATAAGTGCTACTTACAGAAAGTTCAATCTTTTCTCATTTCAAGTTTGTCACAGCTCAGGAAGCTGAATGTTTTCTCAGTTTTTAGCTAATCACCGAAACTAGCGCCAACCTGAATTTCTAGCAAGTCACAAAAGCTAGCACCAGATTCCACCTCTAGTTAGTCATTGAAGTTAGCACCAGGTTCCACTGCCAGCTAGCCACAGAATCTAGCACCAGATTCCACCTCTAGCTAGTCACTGAAGTTAGCACCAGATTCCATTTCTAGCTAGTCACAGAATCTAGCACCAGATTCCACCTCTAGCTTGTCACAAAAGTTAGCACCAGATTCCATTTCTAGCTAGTCACTGAAGTTAGCACCAGGTTCCACTTCTAGCTAGTCACAGAAGTTAGCACCAGGTCCCACTTCTAGCTAGTCACAAAAGTTAGCACCAGGTTCCACTTCTGGTTGGTCAAAGAAGATGGTATGAGATTCCTTTTCTGACTACAGTCACCATTTGTAATACCTACTCAGGGTAATGATTGACGATAATGTTATAGTCCCGAAAATCCAGAGTAGTTTTTACACACAGGAAGTGATGGAAATCAATCTCAATACTCATCCTGACAAATTGAGGGAGATGAGGTTTGCTCCAGTATAGCTGGTTGGCAATGAAAATTAATTGAAGCCCCCATTTAAAGATGTGATCACGTCTACAGGTTTTGACGTCTGGTAACATCGCGTGATACTAGGATGTAAATCAGAGCAAGATTTCGCAGTAAAATTGACATTTTCATGGCATAAGCAAAACCAAATTCAATTCTTCACTGTTTGGTTGATGTAAAAATGGAGTCAAGCTAACTCCAGAGAGTGATCATTGAGGGCATCATTGATGACAAACATTTCTCTGACTGTTGCTAATCATATAAGTAAATGTTAAAAGGCTGTGTTACAAGTCACAGGTATTATCTGTATACACAAATAGACAATCTTACTTAAGGTTTTTATGGATAAGCTTTATAGAGAAGACTAAAACTATTCACTTTAGGAGAATATTGCTGAGCTAGATTAACTACTTTTGTTATATCTCCATTTGTGACTTATTTTGAAAAAAAAATGCTGAAAAAATCTTGTTAAATTGTTTTCTTTCAAAGTGGAATTTGTTAAATTGATAATAGGGTAGTTATGTAAGTTGTTATACTGATAGCAGAATAGTCACACAGTGTGTGTTATACTGATAAAAGGGTAGTCACACAGTGTGTGTTATACTGATAACAGGGTAGTCACACAGTGTTTGTTATACTGATAACAGGGTAGTCACACAGTGTTTGTTATACTGATAACAGGGTAGTCACACAGTGTGTGTTATACTGATAACAGGGTTGTCACACAGTGTGTGTTATACTGATAACAGGGTAGTCACACAGTGTGTGTTATACTGATAACAGGATAGTAAGGTTAGGGACTTTACAGGATGAATAGCTAGACCCAGGTATCTCAGTTAGTAGGAGCTGGCGATGAAGTGTACACAGATCTCTCTAGTAGGAGCTGGTGATGAAGTGTACACAGATCTCTCTAGTAGGAGCTGGTGATGAAGTGTACACAGATCTCTCTAGTAGGAGCTGGTGAAGTGTTCAGAGGCCCGTGGTTTGATTCCAGATCAGCTCTGTTGCATGTTCCCTTCCTGTAACAATAGACAAGGAGATCAGAATCCATTTCTGTAAAACCAGACCTATATCTGACTGTAGTACCAATGTATTGTGTATCTACAACAAGCACAGAGCCACAACGAAAGCTATTTGTATCAGTGGCAAGATGCCACATCTGTCAGGTGTGTGTAGGCTCAGAGTGGCAACAAGATCAACACTTCATGTAAAATAAGTGATATAAAAAAAAGAAATTGGTGTTTTGTTACTGTACAATCTGGCAAGCTTTGTTGATCTTGTCCGGCCTTGTATTCACCGAGACCTGACAACCCAGAAAATTGAAATATTCTTCCCACATTTCAAAACACATATTCTGTTGAATATAAATCACATTTCTAATACAAATATTGCACATTATTTCGAGGTTCATTGCATGTCTGAAAATATTTAGTTACAATTTTCCGGAATCGTCAAAAGAACACCAATTACTCAGAAAGACGTATACCTGATGTAAATCAGTTTGTGTAATTGCTTACATAAAATAAATAGTGTTATAGTACTATTATAAAGCTCACAGCATCATATTAGGGGAGGAGGGGATGGAAACATTCTAAATCTTTGTAAGGAAACTTGTTTCCTTATAGATTTGATGCAAATTTAATCAAATGTCAAATACAACCATTTTTTTTTTCTCCGTCTTCATAGGTCTATGTCAAGGCCATAGTTCTATTTTTAGATTTTTTTTTTTTTTTTTACAAACAGCAATATTTTATTTTAGGGAGCAAGTGCATTTAGAATTTAGAATAGTTTTAAACTAGTGATATTGAAGATGAAATTTTATTTTTGAAGACTATTAACAGGGCATCTGTACCATGCATACTTTCCTCCCGAGGAAAGTTACCTGTCTTGCAAAAACATCTTGTCATATCCTCCTCCTGGTGAAGCTAGAAGGTCATAAGTTGAATATTTGTAGAATGGATTTAGGAGTATATTGGATTTACATTGGTAGTCATTTCTGTGCGGAGTAACCAAGGGAGATAACCTGTTCCTAGGTCTAGTAATACAGGTCATTCCAGATGTTTAGACGTACAATTTCTGTGAAAATAATGCATAACTAAAGACTATACCATATTATATATAGGTCTGTATATCACTCCTCATAGACAATACTTGTATTGGACTTGTTCATTTTTTTCCAATAAACATTGCAAGTTTTGTTTTGGGTTTTTGGGGGTTTTTTTGGTTCCTGTCTTCCTATAGACACTGCAGGTGTTTTTAATTGTTCACTTCTTCACACAAAAGTAGTGGTTTTCTCAGCAAGAAAATTTCACAGGATATTAAAGCATTTGCAAATTTCATCGTTTATTTTGTCGGTTGATAATTGTAGCAGTACAACTGACTGGCTAGTGTGAGATGGTGTAGCAATCTCATTGATCATAGCCAGGAAATTGTTCTCTCATTAATGTTCGATGATCATTACTGAGAATTAAGTTTGAAAATAGGAGCAGTGACACACAAGTCGGATGTACCGCAGCTGTGAGACGTAAAGTTGTCGTGTAACATATCAACTGAAATGTCACTCTCTAAAATTTTCAGGATTTTCTGCCAACCACATCTTTTTGAAATTTTGCAAGTTGTGCAGAATTATTTTACAAAAATGTTCGGATTTTCTTGTTTGGTATTTTTTCTTTGATGGAGAGTTGTCTAACTTGAGGAAACTTGTGATTGTCACGTCGTAAAATCTTGCCATTTGACATCTGTATCTAAAAACACTTGTGTGATGATCCGATTTTGTTCAGACGTCAACTTTGTTATTGATCAAAAAGTTAGATGTGTTTTGAATATGATGAGCATTAGAAGTTACTAGGAGTTGTTTCAATTAATTTCATGATGAATAAGTTTTGTTAACTTCAAAAAATTTAATTGTAAAATAAAGACGTTGATGTCAAGAATGGAGAAGAGAAACAGTGTCTTCAACTTCTTGCGCTTGTCTGAACCCTGGTGTTGGTATCCTGGTACATTAGTAGATGTGTTTGAGATCATTTATGTCTGTTGTTTATAAATGATTTTACCATTCAATCTCACCTGATTGCGTCAGGTCAATGTGAAATTGGCGAGATCAGAACTCGTTTGTAGTGTGAAAAAGTTAGAATCACCTTATATAATTGTTTACATTTGATCAATATTTGTAAATTTCAAATTCAGTTTTTCAGTCACCTGAGACAAAGTCTCATGGTGACCTATTGCAATTCCCCGTTGTCCCCAGGGGGCGCTCTGAGGGGCAGGGCCAAAAGGCACTCAAATTGTTGAAAATTCAAAAAGCTTTTCAATACCCAAATATGGTAGGATCAAATATTTATCATAAATAGAAGTGTCTTAAGATACTTTACCAAAATTGTAAATTCCATGGCTCCAGGGTCTCACATTTCCCCTGGGGAGGGGATAAAGTTTACAGTAGTGTACTTTGGTTACCATTGTGTCATAAAAGTTTTACAATAATGAGTTACAACTTCAGTAAATCTCTTCTTTCTCTGTACAAATAGCATTTCACATTTACTCTTCTCTATACTATACATTGATGCCAGTTTTTCCTGTTTGTGACCATTCAGGCCCCTGGGGCCTCTTGTTGGATCTGATGTAGTCTTCAGGTGTAAACATATACACCTAGAATATCATCTGAATCCATACAATTATGATAACTAAACGATAGAATTGATGACAAGGTCTTTTGACCCCCTTAAAGCATCCTGTCAACCTTGATTTTGAAAGGCTACTGCCAGATGTTAGGTGAAATGGGTTGGTGACGCTCAGTTTATTGGGATGAATTTGGTAGACAGTCATCAACACATGTTGAGTTATATGTGCTTATAATAAGAAAATGGTTTGGACAAGGACTTTTCTATAAAACAAATCTTACTGTAAAATTATAACGTTTCTGTTACAGTCGTTGCAGTGCAGTCTTTCCTAGAGACTCCAGCAGACACGCGTGTCGTCAAGGGCCGTAGCACCATGCTAAACTGTTCTGTTGCTGATCGTGTGGGAAGGGTCCAATGGGCAATGGACGACATTTTATTAGGTAAGTCACTTCATACAATTCAGGTCATGGTATTCTACCTGACTGGGTCATTTTCTGGTGACATGTTCAATTTCAAGTTCAAGGTCGCCATATGAGATGAAAGTTTATTATATGGCAAAGGCCAAGGTACACTCTATAGAGATTTTGTCAGGTATTTTTACCTTCAGAGATTTTGTCAGGTATTTTGTCACTGTGTAGATTTCATCATCTGGCTCTCAATGCTGTGGAGATTTTGTCAGATATCTCCCACAGTGGAGATTTCATCATCTGGCTCTCTGTGCTGTGGAGATTTTGTCAGATATCTCTCACTGTGGAGATTTCATCATCTGGCTCTCTGTGCTGTGGAGATTTTGTCAGATATCTCCCACAGTGGAGATTTCATCATCTGGCTCTCAATGCTGTGGAGATTTTGTCAGATATCTCTCACTGTGGAGATTTCATCATCTGGCTCTCTGTGCTGTGGAGATTTTGTCAGGTATCTCTCACTGTGGAGATTTCATCATCTGGCGATCAGTGTTGTAGAGATTTTGTCAGATATCTCTCACTGTGGAGATTTCATCATCAGGCTCTCAATGCTGTGGAGATTTTGTCAGGTTCTCCTCTCAGTGCAGGTGCACAAGGCAAATACTAACTTAAGACCCACGTCCACTCAGTAGCCAGACGTTTGCCGCCATTAACGATGTAAAAGTGACAGAATTGTGAAAGCAACAGAAGCTAAATGGAGGTTATATGCAGACAAAATTCACCCGTAATTGAGCAAAATGTCAGTTTTTTTTTCAAGAAGCTTCTAGGTTAAAAAGGCTTAGATTGCCCTCATATGACAGATAATCAATCTGTTTGTATGAATACAGGCAATGTTAGTGTTTTGGGTCCCCAAGTCTGGCTCTATCCTCTACCAATCTGGTGATGTCTAGAAATAAAAGTGTGTTTCTATACTCAAATAGATAGACATCAACCCGGATTTATAGAAAACTGGTTATTTTATAAAAACATAGATGTCAATGACAGCTGTAAAACTTGGGTATATTTTGGCTGTGTAGCTGGTGTATTTTTTTTTAAGCATTTTCTTTATCACAGTGGCTACAAGCTAATTTTAGTTACATGTTTAGGGTTACTTACTATCTAAGAAACCATTTTATTAACCTTGATGTGACCTTGAAGAAGAGAGTTTGTGGGAACTGTCAGTAACATGGTACTATGTGCATGTGAGGTTCAGAGTGAATGTGTGGAATTTTGGCAAAGTTTAGGAGATTTGATGTATCAGCACCTACATGTCATGACATAACACTGGCTGGGGTGTAATGCCAGACCCATGTGATATGATGTCACGCCCTGCCAAAGGTCAAGGTCACAGTGTATTGTGGATGCTGGGTTGGACTTGTATTTCAATGTCTGGAACTTTTTCGTGTTCAGATAGACAATCTAGTGGTATTTTAGCTGTACTCCACAGTCTGTATACATAGACAATCTAGTGGTATTTTAGCTGTACTCCACAGTCTGTATACATAGACAATCTAGTGGTATTTTAGCTGTACTCCACAGTCTGTATACATAGACAATCTAATGGTATTTTAGCTGTACTCCACAGTCTATATACCATCACATAGACAATCTAGTGGTATTTTAGCTGTACTCCACAGTCTGTATACATAGACAATCTAGTGGTATTTTAGCTGTACTCCACAGTCTGTATACCATCACATAGACAATCTAGTGGTATTTTAGCTGTACTCCACAGTCTGTATACATAGACAATCTAGTGGTATTTTAGCTGTACTCCACAGTCTGTATACCATCACATAGACAATCTAGTGGTATTTTAGCTGTATACTCATCTGTACATAGACAATCTAGTGGTATACCATCACATAGACAATCTATGTACTCCACAGTCTGTATACATAGACAATCTAATGGTATTTTAGCTGTACTCCACAGTCTGTATACCATCACATAGACAATCTAATGGTATTTTAGCTGTACTCCACAGTCTGTATACATAGACAATCTAATGGTATGTTAGCTGTACTCCAGTCTGTATACATAGACAATCTAGTGGTATTTTAGCTGTACTCCATAATCTATATATCAACTTATGACACAAGTTTCCGTTCTCCTCCCACTGACTGTCATTTCAGTAGTCCAGAATGTTTTAAAGAACTTTGTCTTACGATGGAATTTCCTTTATTCTCTGAGATAGAATATTAAAAAAGACACGAAAATAATGTAAACGCCATATAAACATTATATAAGTGCTTTATGGTCATTTAATGAATACTGTATTGATTTTTATATGAAGGTGTGGTCAAGTTACTATGTATTATCGTTGGTTGTTGGCACGCTTCAGTCGTCTCGTCTATGGATTAACGCTCTGATTGGTTGACGAGGAGAAATGATAATAAATAAAACCCTTTTGGCTGACCTTTTTCGTCGTTCCTTTTGAAGGGCGGTACAGGGTAATCACTTATGAGTTGGGGCTACAGACAAGAGTTAAGTACACTCAACGCTCAACATAGGGTACATTACATCTTCTCCATATTATCCTACCGTAAAAACACCTGGGAGTTTGTATATATCATACCTATCATTATATACTACGGCCTCTTGGCTTAATTGTCTGTTTTCTCACTGTATTCATTTCAAGTATCAGATATTTACTGTTTATTTATATCTATTTTTACTGCAGAGCGTGATTTCATGTTAGGCCCATGTAACATCCCATAATACCCTTGGATCCTGTGGTTCGGCTTTTTTCTTCCATCTACAAAATCCTGTTGCATTATGTTCATTTACAAAGCTGGTGTTTTTTTCCAAGATACAGAACTTTCCTGAGCATACAGATTGTGCTAATTGTCTTTATTTCCCTGAATGTCTGGTACAGAGCCAAAAACAACAAAAAGAAACACACAGGCATTCCTACAGGGTTTGATGCAAAGCAGAGAAAAGAAATTAAAAGACATTGTGTGATTTTATTATGACAAAAATTTTTATGAAGACAACCTTAGCTCTGATGGTACTTTGGGAGTGATTAAAACTAATTTGGGGTGATTTATTTGAACAAGTTTTTGTTTTGTGGGTCTACATACATCAGGAGATAATGGGCAAAATGATAGCCCACTCTTGCTATCCTCTCATGTGAGAATATGGGTTGGTAGATGATCAAGCAAAGAGAGACCTTGTGGAGGGAAGATAACAAAATTTTATGAATGAATTCTTATCAGCTGAAATTAGAGAGAATGTTTTTGATGAGTGGTGCCTCATCGCCTTTTCTGTTCTCCTTTTTCTTTTATTCAGTATTTTCCTGGCACCTCCAAAATGTCCAGGTTTCCACAATATCATTCAATCGTGTATGTCGAAAATATTTAAAATGTCCAAAAAGGGAAATGGTCATAATTAATGGTACATTAGAAAATTTTAAAAGAATAAACATTTGACAACTTTAAGGGAGATAACTGTACCACAACTGCATGTATAATAGGTTTGATAGCTTATATCCTTAAGTCTAACACAAATTACAGGTATAATGTGTAAGGTAGCATATACCCTTAACTCAAAAGTGTATCTGTAATATATTACTTTAAAGGGAAATAACTCTTGACACAATTTTTAGGTGTGATACTTACAATAGGTACTATTAATTTGATATTGTTTTTTTTTATTTTTTTTTTTTTTATTTTCATAATAATGATCCGATACAGATGTTTTTGTAGATAAACAACAAAATGAGCATTGATCCTGTTTATGATTGTATGTCTATACCAGATAGGTTTTATATGTCTTATGACGTCCAGGACATCCAGCAGATCAACAAACGAACGCATTCTCGTATAATGTACTTACTAATGTACACATTTATAGACTGTTGGTGTGGATGGCAGAACAGTTTTCACGGAGATATTGATGATACTCGATAACGAGTTGTCATCACAAGACAATCAGCGCAACGACATAATGAACCCATAATTACAATTTGTTATTTTGGCTAATTGCCTTTGTAGCATCATGTTTTCATCTTTAAAATTTCAGTATTATCAAATCCTCATTAACTTTGTGCCGTCATAATAACGCGGAATCTTCGTGGTTTTGTATTGGCAGAAATGTCGTTATAGACACATAGATTTGAAATTGTGTTGAGTTTTCTATTAAACATCCTAATATTTAGAAGTTTATTCAGAAAGATGACAAAAAAAAATATTTTCAAATGAGAAATGTCAAGGAAAATGACATTTAACACAAATGAAAAATCTCAAGAAACGTAATAAACATCTCATCAGCTGTGTAAATGTCAAACGTGTAATGTGTTACTGGTTTAAATATCAAACAATAATCAACAGTCAAGGTTAAAAGGTCAGAGGTCACATATGACTAAGTTTTTTTTTGTCAGTCATCTTTAGGATTAAGAATACTTTCTTTTGTTTCCTACAGATCAAGTTTAGAGATACTGAAATGTCTTCTTCTTCAATTACAGTCAGCTATGTATTTAAATTCTGATTAGAATTCAGTAGGTTACCAAACCTCAGTAGTGTTAGATTGGCACAAACTAACAAGCTCTTGTTGTGTCACTTCTGTTTTTTTTTTTTTTTTTCTTTTTATGGAAAATTATAATTTTAATTTACAAGGATTTGGAAGTATTGGTCAGTTATAGTTTACATTTCATGAGCTGCATGTAAAGACGTTAATTTTAAAAACTAGGATATGTGTATTTTTTCTGTTAATTTGAAGTCTTTTTTGTTTGTAATTTTATGGCTTCAGTTGGTGTTGTTGTTGTCATGGAAACTATTGTGTTTTATTTTCCCCATAATAGCTGTTGTACTTACAGCCCCTTGAGTGAAAACTATCTCTATACAAAGCGAACACATAGAAACAGATACAAGCCAAATGTCATTACGAGACAAATGCTTTTAAATTTTTCATGTTCGCTAAGTTGTTCTAGGTCTAAACAAACTGATGACTTCTGTATCGTGTCCAGGGTTCATAGCGTGGGCATACGCATCCCCGCA